TTAAAAAACAAAGAGATAGTTCAGGATTTGGTAAAATTTTATATTTTATGTCACGTTTGAAAATCAAATAACTTAGCTCAATTTTGGTAAAATTGCTTAAAAGTCTTCATAAACAGAAAATTAAAATAAAACACATATAATTTTGTTGATAAGTTAAAAATAATTTATCTTCTTGACAGAATTTTTAAAAAAATAATGAAGTATTTTTAATTTATGAACAAAATTATCAACTTTTTATAATAATTTTTTCTAGAAATTTAACTAAATTTACCCTTACTGACATGGTTGTCACGAATACACACATCTCTGAACTAATAATATGCAGAATGAATGCTTCAAACTATTTTCGTATTTATTATATATTTTCTAGAAACATGAAAGCAATAGGACACATCTTTCATTGCTCATGGAATAATCCTCTGAGAATATATATAAATAAACATATGCAGTTCTTATCATATAATTTCAATGCAGACGCGCGTAAGATTTTAACAGATTGTTTAATTTTAAAATAAAAAACTTTATCTTAGAGCATTCTCGGTTTACTTTGGATCGACACCTCATCCCCATCCACTCACAGCCCATGTATCGTTATCTTCAAATTGAATCATGCATATTACAGACACTTGCTCTAATTTCTCCTTCGCGTCTGTAATTTTTAATTTGTCATTGTTGTTGTTCTTATATTATCATCTAATTTATGTTACCGATAAACAACAACATTGAGAAATTTTGTTTTGTTTAAAAAGGTTTATTTTAATAACTTTTAAGTAAAATCTACTTAACCTTTGTAATAAGGCATTTTGATACCTCTACATAAAATAATTATTATCATTAATTTTAATACAATTTATAATGTTTTTTATAGTTCAGAGATTTTGTTATTTTTTTTTTGTGTGAAATAATCTTGTTAATTAATTTTATATTGATAAATAATAAAGTTAGTGTTTAAAGATGTTAATATTATTATTTTTAAAATATTAAAGAAATTATCACTGTTAATTTGAATGGGATATAGAATGTCTTTTCAAATTTATGAATATTACAATAAATATTATTAATTTTATACTAACAGATAGTAAAGTTAATAATTTAATTAAAAAATATAAAATATTCTCTTAAATTTAAGGGTATCAATAGCAATTACTTAACTTTTAAGTATGGAGGAAATTATTACTTTTGTTGATAAATGCAATTTTTTTAGTTTACATCAAAAGAAATCATGTAAACTATGTTGTCATATTGTTAAAAGAAATTGATTTTAACGTTAACAAGTATATAACATGCAATAAGACATGATAAATGGATAATAAACAAAAAATCGTCCAAAGTAGATTCAAAATAAGGTATATTACACCCATACACGCACAACTTTTTTATGTAGTAAGATATCTTTTTATATCAATTTTATGATTATATAAATCAAGAGAGGTTAAAATTTAATCAAAACAAAGGAAGGGATATCAAGTAGAGTTTTATGACATCTTAACACGCGTGAGTATAATTTGCTTTAAAATTAAGTGTATTTTTAAAAACTTAACTAATGTGTGTACGATGAAATCATACTAGGTGAATGATTTAATAAACTAATATCTTTACTAACTTTTATTAAAAAAAATATTAATTCAATCATTGAAATTGAAACCCTCATAAAGTATATCAAGCCTTATAAATTTTATACAATCCAAAAATTAAATAAAACCTTATTGTTTAACTTAATTTTACTGTATACTACGTTATTTAAAATATAATTAAATAATATACCTGTTATTGTCTAAACAATATAAATTTATAACAATATTCATCATAATAATATCACATAAATCAACATATAATAAAGTTTTTATGTTGTTTTTTTTATAAAAAATTTAAGATAAATTTATATTTATTATCTTTTAACCCTTTTTAATTTTATAACTTTTAAAAAATTTAATTTTGTTTTCTAATCTTTAAACGGGTTCAAAATAATGTTTTTATTAACTATGTTAACTCTATTAAATAATTTTATCCTATTTTGTGTATATTATTTACATCGTTTCTTTTTCTTTCTTTTATCCCTTCTTCTTTCTCTTTTTTCTTTTTATTTTCTTCTTTTACCGTATGATTGTGATGGTTGCAAGAAAAGTTCATAATGGTGATGCATGGAAAAGATAATGTTTGTTACATAATTTATATTTTTTTTCACTCTATACTTTCATAACTAGATTATAGGACTTGCATATTTATTGAGGTGTATGTTCTATTTCTAAATAGATTGCCTTCCCAATTCACACTAATTGGGATTAAACACCGCAAAAGGATGGCTTTCCATTCTTCAAAAGCAGTACATTGTTGCAATCTTTGGATGTCTTTTAGCATGTTTTTCTATCTTTATTTATCTCTTCTTCTCCATTCTCTCTTGGTAACCCTCGTTCCCTTTAATATGATATCACATTAATTAGCCAATATAGAATGGTGTCAAATATCAAATGAAGTAAAGGTCTTCCAACGAGTTGTCTGCTACCTCCCACAAGGTGTTCATTATTTGATGTAAGTTTTTTCTCCTTAGGAAATTTTGCGTCTTTTTTTTTAATTACTTTTTCATAAAAGTGGTGCACATCTTTTCCTGTGGAGCAAGCTATTTTATTGGTGCTACTTCATAACAATTGCCCCCTTGCACAAGAAGAGATGTCCTTATCAAGGGTGTTTACTGTGCATCGATCGTTGTTTTGAAAGGAATGTTAGAACATGTTCTCTTTAATACACTTATTGAAAATTAAAATAATATGAAAAAATATTAATTAAAAGTGAAATCTATTTATTTTTTATAATTTTTAATAAACTTTAACTAATTATAAAAAAATATGCTATAAAAAGCGTGTTAAAAAGTGTATTACTAACCTTGCTTGTCGATTTTTATAAAATGATTTAACAATGTGTTACAATAAATGAGATTCTTAAATTTGTGAGCTTATTGAGGTGTGGCAATTCTTAGAAGATGAAAGAAAACAATGATTCTTAAGTATTTTTTGAGAAAATAACGGATAAATGATAATAAAGAAAATATAAGATAAGAATAAGAATGTTCACTTTGCTGTTTAGATATGCTTTGAGATGTAATGGATATCATGGTGGGAAAAAAATAGAGTTATCAAAAAGGAAATAAGATAAAAGGGAAAAAACATGCCTAGAGTATATCAACAAGAGTATAATAAGTGTGTTACAAGAAGTTGATCTCTTGATCTATTTAATCTAAACTAGTGGCTAAGTGATTGAAAGTTTATGATAGAATCGCCTAACTGTTAAAAATGAATGGCTGAAATGGTGACGTGATGAAATGAGTTAATCCAATTAGTGCAATTCATTCCATAAAATGTTAAATTTTGAGTTAAATTAAGAAAAATATTTTATTAAACTTAACGACGGCATAGCCGCAAAAACTTATAAAATTCTTAAAAAATAATTATTTGTCAAACTTAAACATAATTTTATATCTTAGGAGTCTGAATTAGATTAAAATTCCTTAAAATTTATTATCTGTAAAGGATTAATCCGAACGAATTGAATAAGATATTTTGTCAACATTATCTACAATGATTGGTGAGGTTGGACGTAGGTTTGGGCCTTGGGGTGACCGGTTTGCTCGTTGTCAAAGGTTTTGTTCTTACGATCTGTGGTTACATTTATGGGGTTTTTAATTGGTGTTGTCGTGTTCTGACGTGAGTGAATGAGAGGGGAACATGTGTGCCTTGGTGAAGGAAAAAATTTGACAGAAAAAAAATATTAACAAATTTTTTCAATAAATAGAAAAATTATAAAATACTAAAAAAATAAAAATAAAAAGAAAAAGAATTAAAATTTTGAAAAATTAAGAAATAAAAAAAATGAAAAGAACATATAATTTAGCAAAAAATTAATGAGTGTAATATCCATTAGGAAGTGACGTGACGCAATAATTAATGACAGTATAGAGACAGTATAAAAGTAGAAGTCTTGTCTGAGTGAAGCAGTATTTAAAAGTGTCTCCATTGTTTGTTCAGTGATGAAGCAGAGAAAGCATCGCGTTGGTCCACGTGTGTGTTTTCCCCAACTGGATAACTTTGCCCCTTATTTGTCTCTTTTCTCACACTCACTCGTTGCGATTATGAGAATTGGATCGCTAGCTTGCCACGTGTTCTTTCGTGGATTGGCTCTGCCAAATCCATTTCTTCACTTATGTCAACTCAACCCTTATGTCCCCATCCCATGCTTGCACTTCCACCTTCTTCACATACACCTCACAATCTCCATCGTCTACCAACTTCACTTTATTCATTCGTCTAACAACTATGTATGTTTTTTTATTTCTAAAAGTTCTGTGTATTTGTTTGTATATAATTTAATTATTCTTTAAGATTAATTTAAAATATATATAAAAATGTTAAGTTTATATTAAACAAGTTTTTATTATATTTTTTATGTATCTTAAAATATTATTATATTATTATATCAATAGTAGTATTTCCATAAATTTAATTAAATTTACAATAAAAGAATTAATTTATTGTGAAATTAGTGCATTTATGAATTAAATTATGTATACATAAATTTAAATTCATTCTCATTTTTGAATATGAAAGAGTTTTGTTATGTCTTTTTAATAATTTTTTATCATTTTATAAAATAAATAATAAATAAAAATATTTTTTTTCCTTAAAAAATTAAAATATTTCATAGTTTCTTTATTTAATAATTAAGAGAATAAGTATTAAAAAGTAAGAAAATTGAAAATAGAGATAGAAAAGAAACATATATAAATTCTGTAATAAAAAAAACAGTGAAGAACAAATATAATAGGAAGAGAATCTGAAATAGAATAATTTATATAGAATCCGTGTTCATCAAAGGTAAAGCAGATCAAAACGGTGCTTCACGTTAAAAGTTGTGAGGGCAATAGCAGCGAATAGATGGAGAGGGGTTAGCTTTATCCATTACTACGAAAGCAATATAAATAAATGTAGTAGTGAAGGCTTGGGAATTGAAACCAAAGGCACCACCAACTACATAGAAACAAAACAAAACCAGAGAGAGAGAGAGAAAGGTTTCTTCAATGGCGTCAAGGAAGAGCTTTCTCTCAAAGCCAAGTCACATCTTTCCAGAAACCACAGAGACCCATTTGAGTCCAACCCAAGAGGGTTTGTTCGAGTTCGACGAAGCAGAGTTGTGGAACTCCTCCACCACCTTAACTGAGAGCAAGAACGCTTTACCTTCAGGTTCACGATCCGTTTTGAAGAGAGCTTCAAGGAAAGTGGATAACGGAGGAGGAAGAGTCATGGCTCCAGCGTCATTGCCCGTTAACATACCTGATTGGTCGAAGATCTTGAAGGATGATTACAAGAAGCACCCAAAGTGTGAGAGTGATGAAGAATACTTTGACGATGAAGAAAACCACAGGGAACACCGTGGTGGAATTAGGGTACCCCCTCATGAGTATCTGGCTAGAACAAGAGGAGCTTCTTTTTCGGTGCATGAAGGAATTGGAAGAACTCTCAAAGGAAGAGACTTGCGTAGTGTAAGGAACGCCATTTGGAAGAAAGTGGGGTTTGAAGATTAATTTAATTAATTAAAGACAATAATTAGTGTTATAGAGTTGTAGATTAACTAGTATTGAAGACTTGTTATAGAATAACATCGGGGTATATATAGAGATAAGCTGTGGATCGGGTTCCAGAATTATTTTTTTTGGAAAATTTTGGTTTACACGATATTAATTTGTTAAACGATCAACTAGCTATTGAAATGATCCATATGCTTTGTTTAGTGAACCTTTTTTTTTGTAATATCCATGATCATCATGTAGTTAGGAGATGATCCTCGTTTTGGGTGTCTAGTGTTTTTAAAGAAGGACCACTCATGCTTGTAATGAGCTCTTCGACTTTTTATATAATATGGTACCTATTAATGAATATAATATTCGATTTGGTGGATTTAATTTCGCGGCCCCATGTTTGTTCTTTCTTGGTTCTTGGTTGATTCTGTGTGTTTAAATGATGAGAATGTAAAATGGAGTTAAAGCGAGAAGAGGACAAGGCGTTTAATAGGATTGGTTGAATTGAATGAATGAGAAGAGAACAAAGAAGAGAGAGCGAGAAATGGGAAACGTCGGTGGGTGAATTTCCATGGATAAGAGAGGTTGGTGGTTAACTTACTAGTTGGTAAGAAAGGTACTGCTTGGCTATAACATGACTTTGAGTAACATTCATGTAAGAATCAATAGGACCCTGACCATTCCTACCCAACTTTTCCCCATACTCACAAAGGAGACAACTTTTTCCTTTGGTAAAGTAGCATCATCATCATCATCGCTCTCCAAGAATCCTTTTAATTTTTTACTTTTATTATTGGGCTGGAAATAATTGATATTAAGATAGTATAAATTCTTAAGTTTGTCTTTGAGAGTATATAGGTGGGGTATTTCAACTTTTGAAAATTTATAACTTCTTGTTAGTCTTCATTTTGTAAAATAGTAGTTTTTGTCTTTTTTTTGTTATTGTTTTGCATTAAACACAGTTAAAGTAGATGTTATTTTGTAAAAGCATAAAAAAAATTAATATTTAGAGATTAGAATGTGTAATTCATACAATTTCAAACACTAATATACAAATTTACTTAATGGGTATTCTAATAAAATTTTGAGAACGTAGATAAAACTCATTTTCACTTTTGTGATATAGCAATTAAATAGTTGAAATTAAAAAAGAAAAATATTATTTGGTTGAGAAATAAAATTAAAATCTTAAAAATATTGGATAACATTTGCCATTAAATAATAAATTGCCATATAAATAGTGGTTGAGAAATAAAATTAAAATAAAATATTTTTATTAAAAAATACATTAATATATTTTTAGACAAAAATATTTCAATGTTAATTCCTTAACTAAAATCTTAAAAATATTGGATAACATTTATCATTAAATAATATTCTCATGTCTTTGATCTGAACGTTTGTCAAACGCATGATTAACACGATAATAGTCAATTATAGATTTAACTTTAATGGATTAATAATTAATGAAAGCTTTTATTATGATATCTTTAAAAATTAATATAGATTTATTTAGAAATCATAATTTTGTACAGTTGAATATTTCGTTAATACAAATCTCACAATAAAAATAATATATATATATATATATATATATATATATATATAAGCTTTTATTATGATATTTGTGTTAATGAAATATTAACATATTTTTTATATAAATATATTTATTCAATATATATATATATATATATATAAGACATTAATTTAATATTATGTATATTTTTAAAAAATAAAATAAATTTATAACATGTAATATTTTTATTTATCTTAATAAACTAATAAATTTTTTATATAAATAAAAGTGAAAAAGTATAAATAAATGTTTATCAATGCTACTTATAGTAGACACTAGTTAAGAAATTAAAAACATTTTTATTTTTTATATTCTCTTATTTATCTTTCTAATAATTATCCTACAATTTACAAAGGAAATATTAAATAAAAAAATTATATGTATGTATTATTTTGAAAATATATAATACGTTTAATTTTTTATTTAATAATTAAGATAATTTACCACTTAAAAAAAGGATTTATAAGAAAAAATAGAAATTTTATAATGTTTAAATGTTATTAATACATTTTTTGTATTTTTAAATGTATTCCCAAAAATTTCAAAACAAGCTTTCTAATTTGTAATTCTTAGTTAATAGGTACCGGTTAACAAGACTCGTCTTATAATATATTATATATATGACTATTAATTTTTAAGTAAAATAAATAAATTAGTTTTGTTAATCGTATAAGATTGAATTTAAGTATTTGAAATTAATAAATTTTTATTAAAAATATTTATTATACTTTATATCTATAATATAATAAATTATTTTTAAATTATTGAACAATATGTTAAATATGATTAGTCGAATAATAGATGTTTGATATTTTTTTTAAAGTCTTAAAATTTATCTGGCCTATATAAAAAATATTGTAAAAAATAATTAACCCTACCATATTCTAGAAATTTTTAGTTTAAATAAAATTGTTAAAAGATTACTTTTGTTTTCATTAAAAATATGATTAAGTAAAAAGTTTAACAGAGATAATGCATAAAACTTTGACTTATTAGTTATGCTAATTTCATTTTATATTTAACCATTCACATCAACAGTTTCATCAAGATCTATTTTTTATACATCACTAAAAAAATTATCATTTTTAAAAAAATTAATGATAAAAAATAATATTTATTTATGTAGCCTTTATTAAACAAAAATAAATTATTAATATGCACTTTTAAAATTTATATTAGCAAATAATATATTGTAATAATACTTAAAAAATTAATTTTTTATTAATAAATTTTCTATTTTTATTTGTATGTCATATTATATTATTAGTATAATTCGTAACGTTGATACTAATAGTTTGAATTTTGTTGAAAAATTATACTAACAAAAGATAATCTAATACTACTTTTAGCTTTTTGTTTTCTTATAAGAAATAAATAACTCGTTGATCAATATCAATAAAAATAATAATTATATGTTTTATTAATATAATTTAAAAATATTTTTAACAATAAATAATCAAATAAGTAACAATGATTTTGTTCACTTACATAATTAATGAATAAGTATTTTTATTAATATAAATCTCATTTTATAAAGAATATTGAAATGTTTGAATGATAGTATAATTTTTTTATACCTTTATTATATTTAAATTAAATTTTTTTAATTGTGATAAATTTTAAAAATATAAATTAAAGAATTTATATAATAATAATAAATAAATAAATAAAATATATAAATAACTTGTATTAATAGAGAAAAAGTAAAGTTTAAAGTAATTAATAAATAAAAAAATTTAAAATGTTATTTTACAAAATAATATTTATAATGATTTAAATTTTTATTCTATTAATTTTTTAGTAGAAAAATTTTAAATTAAACTTTTGAAATAAATTTTTCTAGTATTTGTTTATAAATTGTTAATACAACGCGTCATTATTAAAATAAGTAGTCAAAGCGAATTAATCAAAAACCAAACAAACTTAAAGTCAAAAAGTGCGGTTCGTATTCATATGGTTTTTTCATCTTTAATTTTTGCTTTGTCACGTTGCATTTATTTTTCATATTTTTGCTATTGTATATTTCATGAAGCACGTGGTTTGGATTTGAAGAGAAAAACATGCTATTGTATCTTGTTAGAATTTCTTCTCATTCTCGCATTATCAAAATTTTCTCATCTTTCTTGAGACATGAGTTGAATTTCAAGAGATCAATTGCCAAAAATACCGTACTTTTATTTATTCTTAATTCCACTCAATAATTTCTCTTTTTTCAAAAAAAAAAACTCACTTATTTCTTCATTACATTACAATTTTTTTAGCAATTACTATTTCCATTCCCCCAGTAAAGATAACTTGTTAAAACTTTATTACTCATTAGAGTTATTTATTGCTTCTTCTAATCATATTACACTTAAAACAAGTGATGGGAGTGCAATTAAGAATATTTATAATTTTGCACCATTTTTTAATACAATTATATCTATTTTTATTCTTTCTATTAGTTTCCTTTTTTCGTATATTAATGTATTCTTTCTAAAAATTTAGCAAATACATGATATGTCAAATTCATTATACATGACATATAGGAACACATTATTGAATACAAATACTACAAAAAAAAAATGATTATGCATGTTTTGAGGAGTAATTCAAATTGCTCTAACTATTCGGTGGATATATTTATACAGTAGTTTTTATAATTGTTCTCTAAAATATGAATTATAAATATAAAATTTAATTTTTTTTATGAATTTTCTATTATAAATTAAAATTAATTTTTTTGTTATATTTAAACTCAAATTTATATGTTTGGAATTTTAATTTTTTTTTCATGAATTTTTTTATCATAAAATGTAATCGATTCTTTGTTTCATTAGAATACAAGTTTATATGTCATGTTAATTAAATAATTTATATTTAAATAAATGAAAAAAATTTAAAAATTACTATTAATAAAGAGAGAAATAAAAAAGAAGCGTGAAAAATAAACCTAACTTTGTTAGTTTAAAGAAAATTTTTTAAAAAATCAAGTCACTATGAATTGAGTAACGTTATTATGATGAGCACTTTATTTTTATATGTGTTTATAAATTAAAAGTTTTTAGAGTTTTTTAAAATTTAAACGGTCCTCTAAAAATGACGATAGTCGGTCATTAAAATGTAATCACTCTAGTGTAACTTTAGTAAATGACTAAAACTATATTTAATAAATAATTATATTATTTTATTCTATATATAACCACTTTAAAATTTAAATTTGTATCAACATATTATATTTAATATTGGTAACAATTCTCGCTGTAGCCATCAATATGGTCTATATATTAATATTCAAGATTATATACAATATCCTAGTTCAAGAGCACAAAAATAAACATGTTGATATGTATGCTTGAACATTGGAAAATATTCAATGAGTTAGTTAACTCATTAAGTTTATTACTTTTCACGTAGATTTAACCGTGACACATTTTAAAACTGAGAGAATTTTGGATGTGAATCCTCTCCAATTTGTGCAAAAATCTTGTGTGCTTCATATGTTGATAAAGGGGTGACTTAGTGACAACGCGATAAAGCAGCCAACAAAGGCACAAGTCCAGACAAAGTAAGTTCCCTTCATTGTGTGTCTAGGAATCAAGATTTGCCAAAACATAGCTCTCAACCACGTTAAAATGTCCAGTTTCTTTTGCCTTTGGGTGCCAAGGATCCACCATTGGCTTTTGCCAATATCTTGGTCTCAATTCCCACTTTTTCCAAAATCTCCTCTATCTAATTCCTCCCATTACGCTTTTGCTGTATCCTATTTTAGTTTCATGAATTGCTTCAACAACAGTGAGCTTCTTGATGGTTCCAAGGCTTCCCTTTCCTTCAACGATTTTAAAAATATTTTGGATGCGAGAATCTTCAGGTTCCCTTGTTTCATTATTCTCGTGTTTACTATATATCATAGTGCAGGAATGGTCATCAATATTAAATTAAAGTGCATAAGATAATATATGAAAGCATATAAAGGTAATGTTCGAGGATAATGTTGAAAAGAGGATCAATTCGAAGGTGATGTTGTGTGTCTATATCCGGGTTTGATAATTGGAAATGAAGGAAGCTAACATGGCAGCAAAGGTAATATTAGTCTGAAACTGAAATCCAGATCCTCTCGCTCAAGTGTGACTTAACTGTAGTGAAATGTAGTTTTCAATGGATAAAATTTTGGGGAATCAAAATGTGACTTGAGAATATTCTTGATTCCTGAGCATCCAACAATGGGCGCACGCAGCTGTTTGATTTGATGTGTTCCTGCGGCTTTGTTTCTACACAAACATGGTGTGCTATATACTATATAGTATGTAGTATATATAAGTCCTTGTTCTTCCACCAACTTCACTGCGACATATATAAAATATTTCAATTTTGAATTATCTCGTTTGTTTAAATTCACATGCTACATACTAATTTCTTTGCTTAGGGAAGATCGTAGGACTTTGGAATCCGAAATTACAAACAGTTTTAGCAAAATATTTTAAACTAATTTTTTTTGTAAAATTTTTTATTTTTAAATAATTAAAATTGAACCTGAGAAATAATGTCAAAATTCAATAAAATAATTTTTTTAGTTAAAAAATATGGAAGGAATGTATTGTTGTATTTTTTAATAAAAAATTTATTTTAAATTTTCGTTAAAATAAAATAAAATAAAATATAAAAGCATGTTCTCAGTTCTCAGGTGATTCTTGAGCATGATTCGTGGGACAGAATATGAGAATATGCCTTTACTTTGGGTACAGAATATATTTTTGCATATGAACTAACATAAATTAATTTCCTGTGGTTATCTTCATATTTGGGATTTTTTTCTTTTGATTTGAGTCATAACTGAAATGAAAAGTACCCATTTTGGGCTTTCATTAGTTAATTATAAGCACCAAACTTGGCCTCTGAAATGGGGTAGGTGACGCTCTTTGCTCTCTGGCACAGGTTGTGTTTACTAATACTTGGTACAAAATTATTAATATTATATTTGGTTGAGCTTAAGTTTAAAAGAAATGATTATTTTTTAGTATAAATTAGATCAAACGAGTAGAGTATTTGTTTGGTTAACATTAAGAATCAATTTCATATATCATAACACGTTTTAATACCAGAGATTAATTTTCAATTACATTAGAATTTATGAAAATCTGAATACAAAATAAAAACATACATAAGTGACAATATAAACACTTTTTAACCAATTGGTTTATTATTTGTCTTTTAGGACGTAGAACTAACCTATTGGTATAGGCATGTTCGAATCTGCTTTAGATTCTGGGCTTAGTAACAACATATGTGGCCTAGTGTTTATCCATTCGTAAAAATGATAGCGCATCATTCAGCTAAGTCCATCTACAATCGACTAAAAAATAATTATTCTTTCAATTTTTTTTATAAAAAATAAAAAATTAAATTATTAACATATAAAAAAATAATTAATTTTATTATATTTTTTTATAAATATAAATTTTATTCTAAAAATACTCATAATATTAAATAATATAGTTAATAATTTATATATTTAATGATACTAATTAAAAAAAGAGTATAAAAAAAATTTAACAATTCATGTATTTAAATCTATCATTTATTATTTATAATAAGAACTAAGAAAATACTCTATTTTATTTCTTATAAAAAAATCGAATAGAATAATATAATAACTTTATCTATTTTTTTAAATATTTATATATATATATATATATATATATATAAAAATGATAGTAACAGAATTTTTTAACATATTTTTAATTATTGATTAAAATTTAATAAATAATTAAGAATGTGTTATTAGTTTGTCTCAATATCTATTGTTGAAGCTAAACTATACAAAAGGGAACCCAAAAAGTTAATTACATAAAAATTTTAAAGACATCATTATTAAAAAGTTTAAATTATCAAAACGTGTTTCATAAAATAATCAAAATTGACAGTGTTATTTTTTCTAGATAAATAAGAATTAATTTAAATATATGAATGAAATTTTAATCTTTGTAAAATAACAAAAAAAATGATATAAATTTATTTCTTTAAAATAGTAAATTATACTACATAGAAGAATAACTAGGTAGTGGTAAATCATTCACTTGCAAAAACAAACAAAATAAAACTGCCTAATTGATGCTCAAACTCGAAATTCCCATTTTGCAAAGAGTTATTGATCAGTTGCCTAATTGAGAATCACAAATGCATCCAGACACAAGTATATAGGATAGAAAAGAATAACATTTAGGATACTTTTAGAGGATATGATAAGAAAATAAAATATGATGTTTTTATTTTGTTATATTTTTAATATTTGTTTAACCAGAAAGAAACGATATAATAATAGTTCATCTTAATTTTTTTTAAATTTTAAAATTTATTCTGCAAGAGAGTTTGAGTTAAAATAGACCCAAAAAAATCATATAATATTTTTAATTTAATATTTTAATATATATTAATTATAAAATGAGACAAGAGTCCAATATTTTTATCTTCTCCTATTTATATTAAACTCATATACTTCATCTTTTTTTTGTCCCATCTTTGTCAATGGACCTTTAAGGACTCATTTATTTAGACTTTTAAATAAATAACACACTTTTTTAGGAATAATTATTTTAAACTTTTAAAATATTGTAAATTTTTTTTTTATTTTAAAGTTACATAATTATATTAATAAAAGTTGAATCTAACCGAGCCTAAATTATGATTTAGTTTTATTTTAATTTATTGGCCGAAAGGTAGGTTGGATCTGTCATTGGTGATGAGTTTCATTTCTCCCCACAAAATTTTCAACATTTCCCCATTATTATATGGGCTAAGCGTTTTAATGGAGCCATCATTTAGACAGGCCCAATGCATTCCAGACCCAAAATAAAATCAGGCAATTAGTAAAACTTGAAAAAAAAAAGAGAAAAAAAAAAGGTTGGATCGAATACAACTCTGGAAGCAAAATTTAATGAAGGTGTGAGTCACTGACAACGTAGGTTGTTGGGAAAAGAGAAGAATCAAATGGAGTGAAGAAGAAGAAGAAGAAGAAGAAGAAGAAGAAGAAGAAAGAATGGTGGGGGGGAAAAGAAGGTCTTTCTTAGTGGCTCTCGCTTTTCTAATGTTAATGGGTATTGCCGTTTATTTCAGGCTTTGGGCTATTCATTACAATATTTCTTCTGATGACACCGAGCTTTTAAGGTACCCTCTTCTTCTTCTTCTTTTCGATTTGTGGTTCATAGTTTTGAAAATGATCAAAATATTCCCTTAATTTGTTCACTATTTTGTCATATTTCTCTGAATTTTGATCAAACTAATTGAGGATTGTCTTTCAAGGGGAAGCTCCTAAACTGATTACAATTAGGGTCTTCTGTTCTCATGTTTCATATTGCAAAGAGACTTCCCTGCAATTTCATGGTTTGAATTGGCACTGCTAAAAGAAGTGTTTTTCTGTGATCAAATTTGTGCTTTATTGCCATTGTAGTGATGGCCTTATAGCATTGTTCCAGCTGCAATTGTAATGCTGTTTGGACTAAATATTCTGTTTGCAGGCGACAGTTTGATATTGCTAACAGGGAGGCAATGGATGAATCTGCTGAGTGGAGGCTAAGGTATGATGAGGAGGTAGATAGGGGAAAAAAGTGTTTACAGCAACTTCAAAAGGTAGACTTTTATTTGGATTTTCACTTTCTACCTGCTAAATTGAGCTCGAAGAAAGATTCGGCTTCATGTTTTGTGCTATTATGGTTGGTGGCACTACACACATTAACCTTTATAATTTCTGTTGGTAGGAGTGAGGTAATGGTGTGTCTGCACCAAGATATAGCGTTGTACTCAATGAAACAGTCTTGTAGAAACCAATTTTTCTTTTCTCACCCAATTAAATAGCAAACTGTTCCCTTTATCTTTCCTGTTATGACTGTATAATCGTGTGTTTTGCAGTTTCAGGAGTCCTCTCAGAAGGGGGAGGATGCTTCTGGCATTAACCATAAACTGGCAATACTGCAAAAGGTATGTCTTCGTAAAATATCAATCAAACTTCATCCTGCTTCCCTATGATAATCTTCTATTTGTTTCTCCCTTCTCGGGAAACAAGAATAAAATCATTGAAGGATAACCATAATGTGAACTGCTAATGTCAGAGATACAATGCGGGCAGCTTATAATTGGTTCCCAAATTTCAAATTTCAAATTTTATTGCCACTGACGCTGATTTTATTTATTTTCAAATGCTATAAATTTGTCTATAAGCTTTGATGATTTCCTACTCTTTCTTAATAAGATAATGTTTTTGTGAAATTATTTTTGGCTCTCTTTGGGCATGCATAATTTGTGTGTTCAAATGACCTTCCACCAGGAGAATGGGGTCTTGCTTGAAAGGGTGGAAACATTAAAAAGAGAGCTTGAAGAGGAAAAGTTGAAGTGCAGTTCACGGTACATGAACTGATCATGAAAGCACTGACGTGAAGTGTAGTTTTTGTCACTTCATTCTCAAGTGATTTATTCTTGAGCACAAGTATTTCAAACATATTTGCAGCATACAACTTTCACCTTAGAGACATGGGCCGTCAAGGAAATGGTACATGAGTCATACTAATCAGTTCCCCCCTTTTTGGGAGTTTACGTTATCCATTGTACTTAATTATGGAAAAACCATTTTTTTTAATCTCTGGATGTGCCTGATAAGTTACTTTCTTTAAAGAAGAAAGGGTTACCCTTATCCTCTGTATTGTGTATAATGAATGGGCGCATCTAGCTAATACAGCTTGCATTTGGTTAATTAACATTTACACTTTTTATTGACTAATATGATGCCCTATAATAAAATTCAGAACTTGCAACACTTTTAGTATTTCCATTTTACTTGTAGCAAGGGTTAAATGTCAATATGCATGCTGGATTGGGAAGATTAGTCATGTTAATATTGCTAATATGGTTGCTTAGCCAAAATTAGAGGGATATGGGGGGAGAGATATTGTTTTATCACACAACAGGAAGCAAATATGTTACTCATTCATATTACATGCTGCTGGCTTTGGCCAACAGCTACACCAATTAGAGTTCTGCTTTTACATCAAGACTTACGTTTGGCAGCTACAGTGAATATTTTTCATCTTGACACTATACATAACCATTGTTAACTTCATGTGCTCGTTCAGCACTCAGAATCTGGAGGGTTAGCTCTCAGTTCATGCAAAAATTTGGTCACTGTCTGGATCAGTGCCTCATTGTTGTTTGGCTGGCTTGAGGATGCAGCTGCTCTTCCACCAGAAGCACTCCCTCTTCGACTCTAATTGCAGTGTGAAAGAAAAAGAGGGGAAGGCCAATAAAGTTATGAGTAAGAACACGATTTGGATGCTCTAGACAAATAAAAATATCAAAATTTATCTTATTTGCATTCCTTTGTAGCAAACTTTGAAATTTTAGTAAATAGGGACAAAGATTCACTAATTAAATTTGATAAAGACCTTACCTTTCTTTTTAACATGACCATATCATATAATAACGTGAGAAAGTAGTATAATAAAAATATTATGATAGAAGTTTGAAAACAATTATATTATTAAAGAAATTTAACATTGAGTGGGGCAATTGTTAAACGTGAATGCATCCCTGATTTGAGAACCCTACCTCATAGTTTCGAAGAATATATGGCCATAAATTATGTATGAGTATGACATTACACTCAAAAATGAAAAAAAATAACATAAAGCTTTTGTTGAAAGAATTGAGAAAAATAACTTATGACTCTCAAAAGATTACTGAAACTAGGCCATGGTAGTACCTTTCGCCACTTTGGTACAGAGGTGCAATTGTTCATCAATCCCATTAACTCATCCAACTGAAAGCATAGTTGATCCACAAGAATGATTATATTTAACTAAGCACTAAGGATTAAAAACAATGTGTAAAAAATGATTTTTGTTGCCTCAACATTAGTAGACATAACAGTTGCACAACAAACATTAAGGTGATACCTGCTTCACTATCTTCTCATATTTCTTTGCACATTCATATAGCCTTCTTTCATCATTACTGTCCTCAGATATTATCTTAGCTACTTTATGATCCTGGTGAGTCATGTTGTTGGAGATAGGAGAAAGTAGAATTATGTAATATTGGCTAAGAGCCTTTATTGTAGTATGTTAATATATATAGCACTAAGGGGAAAGAAAGAAAAACAGTTAAATAGTTTGAAACTTGATTTGGAAAGTTGGAACTTGTAGTATTTGTTATAATCTGTCTCAAAAGGGAATCCGTTACATATCTTTGTGGCCGACCTTCATTGTTCTCGTGAAAAGAATGTCTTGTCAATGATTCTCGTTTACTTAAACATGGTCGGTGTATGTACCTCGATATTCTAAGCTCACCTTAATTTTTTATGGCCTAACAAATAAGTTCACTTGAATTATGTGATTTTTATGAGTGTGATAAGTTGTGTTTATGCTTGTCTAGTTTAGAATAAAGACAATATTTGAAGTTTTTCTAAGAAGGGTAGTTAACTGGCTTAGTAAAATTAACACTTAATATGATTAATCATTTTGGTGAGATCTCAGGAATTGATTTTATATAAATATTTATTTTATTTTTAAAATGACTTACCTTAATTTATTTTTTATTATAATTTTCTCTTAAAAATATAATTAATGCTATTTTATAAAATTAAAATAATTAATCTTTGTAGTTTAAGAATTTTATTCAATTTTTATAATGTGTGCTCAATGATACGTATTACGAAGTTTAAAATAGAAAATTTGTATTGAAAAGTTAAATATTTATTATCTTAAAAAAATCAATATATAACACTTAGTAAAGTGCATTTAATAATTATTAACATTTGAACATACATTAAAAAAATAAATACCAACTTTTATAATTAAGCGAAAACAAAATACAACAATTGGTTCAGCGGCAAGTCATATTCAAATGAAATCCTTACCGTTCATGGAAGATGACAACCATAAACGTTGATGAAATCTTTCTCAAAGTAAATTTTTTTTAAATTATTTTAAGAACAGTTAAATATAAGTTAAATAAAAAGTTTATGTATAAAAATTTTTAGATTTATATTAATTTGAGAAGATCTTTCTTTCTTTTATATATATATATATATATATATAAAATATTATTTCTATTAATTGTCACGTGTTTTTTTTATAATTTTGAGACGATATAATACAACATTTTCTCCGGTGTATCATAAAATTTATCATTATGCATAACTTTTTTTGGTTAACGTTAAATTATATTTTTAGTATTTTACAATATTATCATTTTTTTAATGAGTGCAATATTACAAAGAATAAAAAATTGTACATAGTAAATTTTTGTTAAAGATTACAGAATTTAATAGTATTAATACATTAAATTGAACTTTTTAATAAAAAATTACTATATATAAATTTTTATTCAAATTTTTTTTATGTATGTCCAATAATGCATGGTAAGAAATAATTTTTTTTATATCATGTATTTATTTTTAATTTAACTTTTAAATTCTTCTTAATTTATTTTCAATTTTATTTAATATAAATTTGAAATAATGATATAATATTTTGAATTATTCACTAAAAATGTTAAATATAATAATAATTGTACAATGCAAAAAAATATATAGTATTTATTCATTAAAAAAAAAATCATATAAGAAGATAACACTAAAAAAAGTCACTGACACATTCACTGAATCATTCAGAAAAGTAAAGAAAATGGAAACAAAAGAGAGGCCAATAAAACAGAGAGTTTATCTTTAAAATTAGAGCTTGAATTAAATTTAAGTATTTTTAGCTTTATCTTATTAAAGCTAATGTAGATTAAACCAGCAAAAGTCAGATTTTCATGCATTGAAACATGAAATCAGAAAAATACGAGTAATCCTCAGGATAATTCCTTTAAATTATTAAACCTACGTCGTTTTACATTACCTCTCTCCTTCTTCCACAGCCTGATCGTGAATAAACTCAGGAAAATTTTCAAATACAAATAGACACGACCAAACTGCCCACTAGCCATCACGATATGATCCGCCACCGCCGCTCGTTGCCGGAGCCTCCGCATGCTTCTTCTTCTCTAGCCGCCCTTTAGACCTGGACCATTTTTCATCATTTTTTGCTTCTTATTTATATATTTTATTTTCTTTTAAATAATAATAATAATAATAATAACATTCTCCAATTTGACTCAACTAAATATAATTACGTTAAATATTAAAATAAGATTATCGTTTATCATAATTACACTGATTTAAACAAAATTGTTTCTATATATCTTATATGTCATTAAAAAGAAACAACGATACGAGATTTATAATTACAGATTTTCTTTACATGTAATTATTTATAAGAGTATGTGTATGGTTGTGCTCTATATAATATAAATTTTTTATTAAAAAAATCATACAAATCTAAAAAATATTTAATTTTTTAAAATTTAATTATGTTTAAAATATTTTTTAAATTTTAATATTTTCAAAATTCTAAAAAATACATTTTTTTATTTTAAATCTTAAAAATAACAAATTAGTTTCTTTTCAAGAATATAAAAAAAACTTATGAAAATTGAACTTAATTTAAAAAATAAATTAAAAATCAAAATTTCTTTTCTAATGATTTTTTAATTTTTAAAAAATCTAAATTAATGAAACAAATTATTCTTTAAAAAATTAAAATAAATTCATTTTTATAATTTTTTAAAAACTAAAATCAAAATAAAATCGTCACTTTTTTTAATAATACAAAAAATTAAAACAATTTCTAGTTGTTAAAAGTTAAGTAACTTACTTTTTCTATTACATCTTAGAATATGCAAAAGTAAGAGATGGACTCCTTGAGAAATTTCTTTTATTGGAATATAATTTTGAAATTCTTGTTTATTATGAAATATTTCGGTTTAAATCTTCCCAATTTTTATCATAAAATAATTTTTAAAATTATTTCTCCTTTTATTCTAATTTAACATTTTACTTTTTTTTTTACTTTAAAAAAATGTGTTTAAATCTTTCTAGTTTATTCTAAAATAGTTACATCAATTTTAAATTTTTATTTCAATATAATTTTTTAATTAATTTCCTTTTTATTTCAAAATAATTTCTTTAAATTGTTTCTGTTTTTATCCAAAATATTTTCTTCAAATTATTTTCCTCTTTATTTTGAATTAAAATTTATCATCATTAAGTTTTCTCCTTTATTTAGTATATAAACATAACTAAAATGAAGATTTTATTTTTCCTCTTATTTTTGAAAAAAATAAATTTACCCAATTTAAAGTTAAAAAGAATATCAAAATAATGTTTTTAAATTCATTTCTCATATTTAAAAAAACAAAAGGTTTAATGCTTAATTTAAAACACATTTTAGAATTAAAAATACAAAATAAAATTCCTTAATTTGTGTCCCTTTATTCAAAAATAAAAGAAAAGGACAAATTTAAAGGGATATGGGGGATGAGATATTGTTTTATCACACAAAAGGAAGCGTATATGTTAAACTCATTCGCATTACATGCTGCTGGCTTTGGCCACCAGCTACAACAGTTAGAGTCCTACTTTTACATCAATACTTACGTTTGGCAGCAACAATGATTATTTTTCATCTTGACACTATACATAACTATTGTTAACCTGATGTGCTCCTTGAGCATTCAGAATCTGTAGGGTTAGCTCTCAGTTCTTGCAAAAACTGGGTCACTGTTTGGACTAGTGCTTCATTGTTGTTTGATTGGGTTGAGGAAACAGTTGCCCTTCCACCAGAAGCACTCCCTCTTCGACTCTAATTGCAGTGTGAGAGAAAAAGAGGGAAGGCCAATAAAGTTATAAGAACACCATTTGGATGCACTAGACA